TTTGTTTGGTGCTGGGTTTGTTTGCTGGAGGAAGAAGATGATGGCAAATTCGTAATTTTGGTGGGTCCCACTTTTGTTGGGTTGGGAAGGAGATGACATGTCACGTTGCCATGTCATTATTTATTCGACGTGTCTCAAAGGGTTGACATGTCATCGTGTTCCCGTTAGTTAACAGCACACGTCACTAGATTTTTAACGGAAGGACCAAATCGAGGTAAAAATGATAAACAATAGGGACCAAATCAGGGATGACCAAATCAGGGGTCCGTACAATAGTTCAGGGACCAAAAAGGGGTTTTAACCTAAAATTAAAAATAAGTCTCTCTTACTTTCAATCTCAAACTGAGTTATTTTAAGATTTCCAAACTCGAGTTTAGCACAATTAAAAAAAAAATTAACACATATATATGCTTTATAAATGTCAAAATCAATAAAAAAAAATTGATTCTTTTTTATTTATTTATTTTATATTACATATATATGCTTTATTTCTATTTTTCTTTAACATATATTTTGAAATTGCTATTTAATAATAATAATTATTATAATTATAATTATAATTATACTAATAACAACAACATCAACAATAATAAAAATTAATGTATAAATATGATTTCGTACAATATACATGCAACACATAGGTATTTAATCCTATTTCAATATATTGTAGTTTTTTTATTGAGAGAAGAGAAAATACTATCTAAATCTTTAAATAAAATAATAGTAAAGAAAAAGAACATGCATATAAGATAAAAATTAATATTGAGTGTTTTAAAATTCTCTTAATATTTTTTTTAATGTGATTATATACAATTTTTTTTTAAAATACTCCTATTAATTACTAAATATAATTTTTAACTCAATTTTAATTACTTAATTAGAATTTTTTAATTAAAAATTATTATAAAATTCAAGAATTGATAAAAAAAAATCTAAACTCTAATATTAAAAAAAAAAAAGGCAAAACAAAAACTTGTTTATACAATTTATCATTTTCTTTGAATAGAATAGCATATATTAAAATTAAAAATAAGTCTCTCTTACTTTCAATCTCAAACTGAGTTAGTTTAAGATTTCCAAACTCGAGTTTGGCACAATTAAAAAATTGAAAATTGACCCAAGATCGACGTCTACTTATAATGAATGATAAGCTGAAGAGCTTAATTAGCACAAAACGATTCGTTGGGGTTGATTTTCTTATCATGAACAAAAGGGTGATGTTATTACCATACCCTCACCTATTAATGTTATACTTTTTTATATTAATTGATTATTATACATTTTAATTTATTAAGAAACAAAAAAAAATTTAAAATTTTAAGAAAATGTGTAATGTAAAGATATAATAAGTAATTATATTAAAAAAACGTAACATTAACTATTTAGGGTGTGGTAATAATCTTACCAATAAACAAACCTTAAGGGCATCCACTGTATTTTCGTCGAAGTAAAATTTCAAGAACGAAGCAAATTATCGCACAAAACAGATGCGCCATTTAGGGACGATTATGGAATTGTGAAAATGCGCCACGAAAAAGTCAGAAATCTTAGAACCTTTGGAGACCAAAAGTATTTCTCAAATTTCAACGGCAAACAAAACCACTTTCCTCGCTTCAACTCCCATCGTTCACGGTTAGCCTGCACAGAACCATCGACAGAACTCCTTACCGAGAGCGAAGGGGAGTGGTCCTCGGAGTTTGTTTTAAGCAACAGCTGACTTCTACCTGTATCCCAGAGGGACTCGCTATGAGATTGGCGGTTGGGAAGTGCAAGATATTTGTTGGTTATCATCCTTTGTAACAAGGTTATAAGGTAACAATTTCTGACAAGTGTCCTTTCAATTGGGTTAATAGTCCACCTAATGTGTGTGGGGAGGAATGAGGTGTCACCTAAACACAGCGGAACCAAAGCAACACCAAAATCTTCCCCAATCTATTTGAAATTGTTACAAGCAAGCTAAATTGAATCCAAATAAATTATGGCAGCAGCTAAAATATTTTCACATGAGACACAATATTTTCACATGAAAAACCCCAAAAATGGGTAAAAACCATGGGACATCCAGTCCACAAAAATAGGTCCACTATAATAAAAGTGAGTGCACAATATACTCTTCCAAAAGGGCACAAAAACAGCACCAAATAAGATGAACAATAGGCCACAAACCAACAAAGTAAAAGAGATCACAAGAAAACAGAGCATGAAAACACGAACTACTGTTCAGGGCACAAGAACTGAATTTACAGAGCTCAAAACAAAAAACTGATTGTTCAGAATGTAGATCAATGTCTTGTGAACTCCCAGACAAAATTTCATCTCAATCCAACGGTGAAATTTTGCGAATTGGACAAAGTTGCAAACTGTGCACTTTACCAAAATCTGCAGAATTTCTCCCCCGCTTTCTTTCCCTTTCTGCCGGCTGGTCCACGTGCTCTCCACTTTCTGCTGTCCAAATCAGACTCCTTTCTTTGTCTTAAATGGCTGCAAAATGTGGCTTCAAGTGGGCTTAACAAGTGTGGGCTTAGTCCACAAATATTGGTCATTTCTCAACATAGGAGGGATAGGCCTAACCCAACAATTCTCCTCCTCCCAACTATATGGAGGAGATCGCCATTCCAACGATCAAGCAACATGCCTGAAACTTTTTTCTTGGCAAAGCTTTGGTCATCAGATCATACCCATTCTCATCAGTGTGAATTTTTTTAACTTCAAGCAACTTAGAATCTAGGACATATCTAATCCAATGGTATCTAACATCAATATGCTTTGACCTATCATGGAATGTAGAGTTCTTACTTAAATGAACTGCACTTTGGCTATCACAATAAACCACGTACCTCTTTTGAGCAAGCCCAAGTCCCCAAGTAAATTTCTTCATCCAAAGCAACTCTTTACAAGCTTCAACAACTGCTATAAACTCTGCTTCAATGGTAGAAAGTGCAACACATCTTTGTAACCTTGATTGCCAAGACACAGCTCCCCCTGCAAAGGTAATTAGATAGCCCGAAATAGATTTTCTTATATGAATATCCCCAGCCATGTCTGAGTCAGTATACCCCGCAAGAATAGGCTCTCCTACTCCAAAACAAAGACTCAAACTAGGAGTGCCTCAAAGGTATCTCATAATCCTTTTCATTGCATCCTAATGTTCTCTCCCTAGATTGGAAAGAAAACGGTTGACTAGACCCACTGCATGAGCAATATCTAGTCTTGTGCAAACCATTGCATACATTAAGCTACCCAATTGCATACATTAAGCTGCCCACTGTAGATGCATAAGGAACTCTCTGCATATCATCCTTCTCTTCATCATTGGAAAGACATTGACCCTTGCTCAATCTGAAGTGTATAGCTAAAGGAGTATTGGCCACCCTAGCCTTGTCCATTTGAAACCTTTGAAGTACTCTTTCAATGTACTTATCTTGTGATAACCACAACTTCCTAGATACCCTATCGCAATTGATCATCATGCCAAGAATCTGTTTTACTGGTCCTAAGTCTTTCATAGCAAAAGACTTGTTCAATTCTTGCTTCAACTTCTTGATCCTAGAAGCATTTTGACCAACAATAAGCATGTCATCAACATAAAGTAACAAAATAACAAAGTCATTAGCAGAGAATTTCTTCACAAAGACACAATGGTCCAAAGAAGTCTTTTTATATCCATGCTATCTCATAACAAATTCAAACTTCTTGCACCATTGCTTGGGAGCTTGTTTTAGGCCATACAATCTCTTTTTCAATCTACACACAAAATCCTCTTTGTCTTTGGCTTTGAAATCTTCTCGTTGCTCCATATAAATTTCCTCATCTAGATCACCATGGAGAAAAGCATTTTTCACATCCATTTGTTCAACTTCCAAATCAAGACATGCTACTAAACCCAACACAACTCTGATTGAAGACATTTTTACAACTGGAGAAAAAATCTCATTAAAATCAACACCTTTTTTCTGACTAAAGCCCTTAACAACAAGTCTAGCTTTGTACCGTGGAACCAAGGTGCCATCTTCATGTTTCACCCTATAAACCCACCAATTCTTCAAAGCTTTCCTGTCTTTTGGCAAGTTAACCAAATCAAAGGTATGATTATCAAGCAAAGATTTCATCTCATCCTTCATGGCTTCAAGCCATTCCATTTTCCGCTCACTTTCCATGGCTTCTTAATAACTTTCAGGTTCTCCCCCCTCAGTGACAAGTACATACTCACTAGAAGGATAACGAGATGAGGGTCTCCTTTCCCTGCTAGGTCTTCTAAGTGGATCTACTGGGACCTCTATAGGAACATCCTGCTGATCATTCACTGCTTCATTGAAAGGAGCATCAAGATCATTTGCATCTACATGAGCATCTTGAACTTGATCATCATCATGTATGTCATCTTAGACTTCATCATTTTGAAGATGATTTTCAATTGCATTTGGCACCAGAGTCTCAACAGTTGGCCTAGAATCAACCAAACCCTCATTGCTTTAAAGACTTGTCTTCTCTGCCTTGTCAATATCTTCAATAGTTTGGTCCTCAAAGAATACTACATCACGACTTCTAACTAGTTTCTTTTCAACTGGATTATACAACTGGTAGCCAAATTCATCTTGACCATAACCAGTGAAGATACACTACCTAGTTTTAGCATCCAGCTTTAACCTCTCGTCCTTGGGGACATGAACGAATGCTTTACCTCCAAAAACCTGCAAGTGATCATAAGAAACATCCTTGCCATACCAAACTCTATCAAGAACATCATTATCCAAAGCAATGGTGGGAGACAAATTGATAACATGCGCCACTATATTAAGAGCTTCTGCCCAAAAAGCTCTAGGCAATTTAGCTTCAGCAAGCAAACATCTAACTCTCTCCATCAAAGTTCTATTCATCCTCTCGACTAAGCCATTCAACTGAGGAGTCTTGGGAGGACTTTTCTGATGTTTAATACCTTGCTCCATGCAATAGTTATCAAATGGTCCAGAATATTCACCACCATTGTCTATACAGATACACTTCAATTTCTTGCCTGTTTGTCTTTCAACCAAGGCCTGAAATTGCTTAAATACATCAAGAACCTGATCTTTGGTCTTCAAGGGATAAACCCAAAGCTTCCTAGAATGATCATCAATAAAGGTGACAAAATAAAGTGCACCACCATGTGAACTCACCTTTAAAAGTCCACACACATCAGAATGCACAAGCTCTAGCAAATCTAGCCTTCTTGAATGAGGGTGATTTTTAAAAGAAACTCTTTTTTGTTTCCTAACCAAGCAATGAACACATTTTTCCAACTTTGATTCCTTTAATCCAGAAAGCACATCCTTCTTGACCAAACAATCTATCCCTTTCGCACTCATATGACTAACCCTCTTGTGCCATAACTCTAATGATTCATCTTTTCCAACTACATTAACAAAGCCACTAGAAATAGAGCCTTGCGTCAAATACAAGTTGGAAGACTTGGAGCCTTGAGCCACAACAAGGGAGCCCTTAGTAAGTTTCCATTGCCCATCATTGAAAGAACTACAATAACCATCATCATCCAGCTTTCCTATAGAAATTAAATTAAGTCGAATATTAGGTGCATGCTTGACATCCTCAA